TTTTGTCCAAGAGATGCGAACTCTCATCGCCGAGATGGCAGCGGATCCTCTCCCCGAGACGGTCACAGTGACCGTGTTTATGGAGGGTCTCTGCACTGGCGTGGCCAGAATGGAAGTCTTTCGTGTGTATCCGTCCTCATTTGAAGAGACGGTGACTGTGGCATTGAATGCCGAATTTAATTTCAATTTGGCACGACTTATTTGGAATGCGCACTCCAACAGCTCATCGAGCGGGCCAATGCCCATGGATCTCAGCCATGCTGAGGACGAGGGAGCAGAGCTCCAGGCTACAGGGAAGCATACATACGTTCGACGGTGTTTTGTCTGTGGAGACACCCGTCACCCAAGGGACGGATGCCCCCTGCGCAAGGCGCGTTAAGGTTCTTTGAATTATCCCCCCAACGCCTACCAGTCTGGTTTGTCGCGGGAAAACGACACCATTCAGTAGGCGCAGGGCGACTTACTGGGGAAGTTTTGTTGAGCCTCAGGGAGGCAAAGTGCAACAGGGCCCAGTTCCGAAGAGTTCCGTGCTCTTAAACACGGAACGTGTGTGCAAGCCGGGCTTGCTAGTCGTGGAGGCGACCGTAAAGGGCTTCGAAAAGTTATGGAAGATCCTCATGGATTCTGGGGCGTCGGGCAATTATGCTCGACGCTCCACGATGGAGGGGAGTCAGCTGTATGCTAAGGCGCTGAAAGCGCGACTGGGTGACATCGTCACATTTCGCTTAGCGACGGGGACGCGTGTCACGGTCTCGAAGGTCCCTGTGGACCTCGGAGTCAATCTCCTTGACTTTGATAGCGTGGAACGCTATCTAGACTTAGACTCGGGTGCAAGGTATGACCTCATCCTAGGAATGGCATGGTTGGAACACCATGAACAATGGATCGCTTGGAGGTCAAAGACCTCGGGCGCTACGCGCAAGTCTCCCGGTGGAGCTTAGGCGAGTCATGAACTCACCTCTGCTAGGAGACAAAAGCGCTATCGGCGAGAGCACTGGACCGAGCCGGTCAACGTGCTAGACATTGCACTGTCCGAGTTGGTAGACACCAACGGTGCATTGGACAAGAGTCCCTAGCGTGGCTTGCGAGCTGATCGTGGAGTGGCAAGTAACCCACTGAGCGCTGCTCTCGTTGCGACGCAGCCGCTGCATGTCATGCGTGACATGGTCGGCCGAGGGCCGAGGCATCGAGGGCGAAGCCCATGTGATGCATGTGAATTGGCAAGTAAACCACTGAGCGCTGCTCAAGTTCAAAGCAGTCGCTGCATGTTATGCGTGTCATGGTCGGCCAAGGGCCGAGGGATCGAGGGCGAGGCCCTCGTGATGCGCGTGGAGTGGCATTAAAACCATTGGGCACTGCTCTTGTTGCAAAGCTGCCATTGATGGCGTGGTCGGACAAAGCTCGAGGCATCTTGAACACGGCCCTTCAGATACGCGTGGAGTGGCACGTTATCTACTGGACGAAGACTGCGGGGTTAGCAGTTCTTCGTCGGATGTTGTAGATAACATCGGAGCTCCAAAAGAGCGGAAAGTGAGGGTGACACCGGACGATGAGGAGTGCGTGTTCACCCTGGTCTCACCGAGATATAGAACCTCTGTACAGAGGTGACGGCGACGGCGTATTTTGCAAGACGCCGGGCGTCTACCCTGATCTAGGGTGTGCCTACCGTAGACGATGGTGCAGAGTCATACACCCTCGTCAACGGTATGACGGGCGAGAAAGATGGTGACGTCCACCTCGAGGCTATGCCTGCAGTAGATGCTCTTCTTGAGCTGAACGAGATGTCACTTGAAGAGTTCGGCAGTGACTTGAAGGCAGGCGATTTGGCCGAAGTCGTCATTGTAAGACCGGACGGGGAGATAAACTCGTCATCTCTTCTGGATAAAGCTGTCTTGGAAGACACCAAGAGAGTGCTGAACACACGGAGTGGATCGTCGATCCTACTGAATCCTTCAGATCGTACTATCTTTAAATAAAAGGAATTTCGAGAGGTCGTCTCCAAAGACTCGCCTTCGATCCTACCTCCGGACGAGGTGTGCGCCATGAGATCGACCTGGTTCCGGGAACCAAATACTGCGTAACACGTCATTGGCCCCCTGTCCAAGGGGCAGTGCGACGTCATTGACGCCTTTTTCCGTGCGAAGCACGACGCACGTTTGGTGCGTGAGAACAAATCTCCCCATTCGACACCCACGTTTTGTGTTCGGAAGCCGAACGACAAGTGGCGTATTG